GAGGGGATGAGCAACATGATGCGTCTCATTTCTCGAACAACACGGACTCCTGTTCCAATGTTGACTTTTGCCACCAGCGCCCGGCTCCTGCGGAACATGGTAGCCGGTCTCGCCTGACAGTGATTGGAGGCACTGCCGATCCCACGAGCAGGCCCCTATACAGAGGACTTCAAGATGAACCAGCATGTCCTCTATGACTATGCCACTTCGACCGACCTATTGATGCAGAACCTGACTATGGTTGTTGGGAACCCGAGCCAAAGATGTTTTGCAAACGCCCATGGAGGGCTTTCACTTGGTTGTGCGCCTTTCTACAAGAGCACAACCTCCAAGAGAGCCTGGAGACCAGTGAAGCCGTGGACCTCCAATTGGGCGCCAGCCACTTCGTGAACACACTGTGGTTGGCCACTCAATCCAGAGCCTTCACCTACAGGTATGCCGAGATCCAACCAGGGGGCTTCCTCAAGGACCACATCCAGATGCCCATCCACATTGACTTTCCTGCCCACTGCCCAGATGAGGTGCACTTGCAAGACCTCACCAACGAGTGGTGCAATGAAGGATTGGGCCAATACTTCATGGATGAGAAGACAGCTCTAGTGTGCCATCTCAAACGTGACACGGAGATTGACGGCCCCAGATCACCAAGCACCACCGCACCATGAATCCTCATGGCACCTTCACAGTGCCAGTCTCCCTTGATGGATTCTCCAGACGGCAAGAAGAGTACGTTCCGGTTGCACTCATCTGTCACAAGGGCCATAACCACATGTCCGGCCACTACTATGCAGTCCTCATGTACCGGGACCTCCTCTGGTTGGCCGACGACGGACAGACGCCCAAGGTGATTCCCATTTGACGCGACAAATGGCTAGTGACATAATACAACTTTGGGCCATCCAAGTCTCCCATTTCAGGATTCCATCCCTCACCAAGCAAGAGAGCAAAGCCCAATGCAGATGCCATGCGTCTCTACTTCGCCAACTGCACCAGCTTTGGCAAACAAGTCATTGAATGGTATTGGGAGTGCGAGCTTTACATCTTCGTTGAAACCCATCTGGACCAGCAGCAGCACGCAAGCGCCTGCCAATATTTCACCACACGTGGCCGGCAGGCCATCGGAATGGCTGCAGCCAAGAATACCACCAACGACGCGACTCATGGTGGCATCCTCATCGGGGACCATACAGAAGGGCCCACCCTCATCGACAGCTACGACGTCAATGGGTGCGGCTTTGTTGCCTGCCTGTCGCAGCAAAGGGAACTCCCGCTACTGCTTGTAGCTGTCTGCCTCAAGCGTTCCGACACCTTGGCGACTGGAACACACCCCCAGTTCCTTTGAGGAGACCGTCCTTGGTTCCAAGTTTGCCTGGCAGATTGTGGCTCCGCCCCAAACCTTGCCATCAGGGGCCGTTTTGGACTACGCCCTGGTCCAGAAACAACTGGCTGAATGCACGTCCGTGCAGACTGAATGGGCTGTTCCCTGGCGGCCTCATGCCTTGGTCTCTTTGACCTTCGAACTGGATGCAGCCACCCGGATCTACAGACAACCGTGTCCCTTTCCAGCAATGCCACGCACACCAGACATTGATTTCCGGCCATGGAGCACATACACCTCATTGGCCACAGCAATTCAGCTCTATGACATCGAACCCAATCAAGAGGCACAATCCTTGGCTGACTGGGTTTCAATTACAGAGCAGTACTTGCTCCAGGAACACCCTTGGCAACCACAAGGATGTGGCTATTGGGTGCAGGCGGCGCACACGCCCTTGGCCAAACCGCCCGCCGGTCCTATGTGGCGCAGAGGCAAACCAGCCTATTGGGAGCAGCTCAAAGCAAGACTTCAACTTGCATTACAAGCGCCCGCAGGACAATACAGGCCCATCACTGGATTCCTTCATGCCGCCGTGGATGCGGTTGGACCATGGCCCACACCTTTCTGGACATCCCGTACCACTGGAAACAGTACCGGGACGATAGATCTGCCAAGCTACTGAGGCACACCATCCAACACCAACTTGCTGAAGCCCACCAGAGACGAAGCAGCGCTCCAATACCAGCACTACCTCCAACAAGGTGAAGCCAAAGGGCTGAGGGGCCTTTTCAGATGTCTCAAAGCCTCAGAACTTGCATGGCAAAGGCCCTACACACAACTTGAAGTCCAACAACGAATGCCTCAACGAATGCAGGACTGGGCCAAGCTCTGGCAAATTCGAGACACCAGAGATCCGGTACCGTTGGCCAATGCTGAGCAGCTTTTGCAAGACCCCAAACAACGTGCAGCATCTCTGCCAGAGATCTCTCTTGGACACTTGGCACATGTGCTCAAACATCTCCCAGACCGTGCTGCTGGACGGCGTCCCCACCCAACTTGTACGCACGGCACCACCTCAGGCACTCCAACCACTCCGACAGATCCTCTGCCAGCCGATGATGCTGCCGCACGGGCCATAAGGGCCATGGAGACTGCAAGGAAAAGAGCCCGTAGGAAAAATTACATACATACATACATACATACGTACATACATACATACATACATTGGGCAACTTGCCAGGACACTCAAAGCCCTGCCCAACAAGGCCAGTGGCCCAGATTCAATTTCAGCACAGCTTCTTCGGACAGCGCCGCCGCTTTCCCTACAACCGTGGTTGAAGCTCATCCATGAGATGGAGCAAGCAGCTCAACTACCAACCCAGTTGAAGATGCACATGGTGGCGATGCTGCCAAAGAACCAGACCATCGAGCGCCCCATCACCCTGACCTCTGTGCTCTACAGGGTGTGGTGCCGACTCCGAAAACCCGTGCTCGATGACTGGCAGCGCAACCTACCACCTCACATGAACCATGGAGGCCGGGGGCAAATGTGCTGCAGGTAGCCTTGGAAAGGCTGCTACGCCAGGAAGTACACAGGGCAAACGGCCAACATGGCAGCAACCATAGCTTACCTCCAAGAATGGGGTTGGGATACACAGCAACTCATGCATTGGACCAGACAGGAAACACAACTTCTCGTGAGCAACGACATCACACTCAACGCACCATGGTGGCAGATTGAAAGCCTACTGTACAAAGAGGCTCAACAACAAAGAGTCAGCACAGGCATTGATTGGCATGTCAAGCTTCCAGAGAGACAGCGACTGCGACTGCACCTCAAGACATGGGTCCAAGGAGCGCTCCAATTCCGGGATTCCAAGGCAGCCAAACCCTGTCCACTGTGCCATGCCCCAGCCACACCAAAGCATATCCAGGGGCCAGCACCATGAACCCCTACCGGCGGAATGGCTGGAGCGTTGCCCAGAAGAAGAATCATTATGGTCTAAAGGGTGGATCCAGTTGGAACGCCAGTCCAAGCCCAGGGCTCTCTTTGCGGGGCTGGTGGCCACCACTCACCGTTCAGCTCAGCTCTGTCTGGGAAGTCAATACCAAGACCTCTTGAACAACGTCACCGAAAGGGACAGGCAACGAATCACTGTCCTCTACATCAGCAGAAACACAAGGACACCAGACGCCCCGGGCAATGTGAACCCCAGCTTCGAAGGCCAGAGAGACTCTCTGACAGCATGAAACCGAGCCAATGGCATGCACGACCGCCGCCTCACAGAGTGGCAGAAGACCCTTGACCAAGACCACAAGATGATCTACATACAGGCTGTCAAGAGGCTAGAGAAGATCTTTGAGGATAAAAACCGCTACATCCACTGCAAGGCACCCAGACAGCAGGGCAAGCAGACCAGACAACACAAAAACGATCTGGCGAAACAATGCACCAAGCCTTGGCAACCCAGCCAACACCGCTGGGAACCACACCGCAGCGGCTACCATTGCAGTGCCTGCAGGACCCGAATGCACCAAGGCTTGACCACGCCAGTTCTTGAGGCCAGGCTCAAGGAGACATGCGCGCAGCTGCAGGTTGACACCACCAGCCAAGAGCCAGGCCCTGAGGCAGCCCCGCTCACCAAAAAGCCTACCAGAGCCCAGAAAACGAAGGGGTACCTCAATTGCACTAAATGTGGCACCAGCATACACAAAAGGATCAATGAAGCGGCGTTCCAAGAGTATGTCAGCAGCCAATGCCTGGATTGTGCCTTTCCAGGTGAGCACGGTGGGCATCCCTATATGGCAAAAAGGAGCCAAGATCCACTGCACCTTGTGTGGTCTCCAGCTACACTTGGATAGCCAACGCCGGGTGATCAGCACCGCAGCCCTCATCAAGGAATGCAAGGGAGCTGGACTCAAAGTCACCGCTATTTCCAGCAGCCCACCCAAGAGGGAACATCTCAACAGAGCACCCCTGCAGATGCCACAAATGCTTGCAGGTCAGCAGGGACGATCCCGAATCCAACTCCCCGCAGGCTGCACTTTCCAACTGAGCTCAACGCTCATGAAGGCCGCCAGAAGCACCCCCCTGCACCGGCCATGACACCCAGCCCAAAGGCAAGAGCAAAGTCCGAGACCGCTCAAGCAGCAGATCGGCCACCAAGGGAGACACGAACCAGGCACCCTACCTCAGAGGACAGCCTGGAAACCGCCGAAGAGGAAGCGCCGGAGCTCGATGAGGAGTTTGCGGTGGACTTCTTCTAAGACGACTGCCATGCGCTGTGCGGCTGTGCGGCTGGGCGGCCATGCCAACACGGCATCGAGACTGCTGAGAAGAAAAACCCCTCTAGAAAAAACATAAGAACATACATACATACATACATACATACATGCATGCATGCATGCATGCATGCATGCATGCACACACACACACATCTATATATATATATATACACATACGGCATACAGTCTTATGGCCATATCTCAGTTTGACATGTTTTATGCTTCGTGTTCTCTTCTCGAACAAAAGGCCTTACTTTTGGCAGCCAATGTCTACAAGTCAGTGGGCGAGCTCGTGGAGGTGGCGACTTGAGGGCACTGCATCAGGGTGGAAGAGAAGGACCAATATACAAACAGTATAGTATTTCAATTGAACCGTGCCACAGACTTTGTTCTTTAAATGTGGGGGCCAAGCCTTTGCGTGAGCAAGGGCGCAGATGAGCGGAACCAGAAGCGCACTGTTGATCCTCCACCACCAGTGGGCCTTGAAGAGGCTGAGAAGTGGCTGCTCGAGGCGCAAGATATTTTCGAACAACTAGGTGAGAGGCGCTTGCCAGTGCCTCAAAAATACAAAGACTGCCGCAAGAAGACAGATTTGATTGAATGTAATTACACTAGAGTTGTGCATGCTTTCGGTCGCTGGTGACGAAGGGTTGGTCCAACCCAAGCTACAATTGCTCCCAGCCAGTGTTGCGCTGAGGCTGGCGCAGGTCTTGCATAGCATGGCCAAGGTTCACATCGCCAAAAACGAGCCTGCTGAGGCCGACTTCATGGGACAGAGACAAGCATGGGCATGGACATGCATGGAGTCTTCAGGGATTGATTGCTGTAGAATAGATACGGCGCAACAAGCAAGAGACCTAACTACTAAAGCACAGTGGCCAGATGGCAGACGGCGTTTGTTTGAGAGCATATATAATTGTTTAGTCGCATGCATGTTTCGGATTGGCAGGCTAGGTGCATGAGGCATTCTCTAAAACATTGCAAACGTTTTATCTGCACCGTCACTGTCTAGTGCATTTATGTATGAGGTGGCTCCCTTGATTTTTGACCGAAGCAATTCGTTTACAAATTGCCCGCCTAACAATGCGACGAAACGAGGCGAGTGTGCAAACTTTTGCAGAGATGGTCGCACCCAACCACCCGTCTCTTCAAATCCAGTTAATGCTCGCACGATTTTGATCAAAGAGCGGGTATTGTTGTACTCACCTCACCTCATGTAGGCCCATCAACCCCATTGACCAATTAAACTGATAATACTTTGTTTAAACAATACTAGTTGCAGCCTTTTGGGGCATCGAAAGTGCTCTTGCCAGGCTGTTCGGCTTGCTTATGAAGCTCACGCTCTTTGCAAGAGAGCGCGGGACAAGCCAGCAGAGGTCACTTGTCAGACAAGATTTCCACAGCCTTTTGATGCGTCGGTGGTGGGATGCCCAGAAGCGGTTGTGGAGTGAGGCAGGCACCTTGCTTTTCACGGTGGAAGCTCATCTCTCCCTGATCGCGCAGTTGGCCGGGGGCTTCACTCAGCTCACTACAATGGTATCCATGGCAACCCTTTGTTACAGCAGAGAAACTGCGAGAGACACTAACCCCATATCTTTCACCAATAATTAGGATGAGATCACGCTAAACTGAGTAGATACTCAGGTAGAAGGTGGCAGGCCGGGCTGGGTTGGGACTTGGCTGACAATAGCAGTGACCTCAAAAGAAAAGAGCTTGGGCAGGATGCGGGGCAGCCGAGAGCTGGAAGAGCAGCTCTCAAAGGCCTTCCCGGCTTGGTGGTTTTAAGTTTGATTTTCCTGAGCCCTGAACCCGTTTGAACTGAGGCGGAGAAAGCTGGACTAGCAGACCTTCACTCAGAGGTTCTCCAGCTTGAGGCGTTCAGGTAACTTGAGAGTTTTACCGTTTATGGACACTGCTTTCATCAGAGTTGCCTAGGCAAAAAAGATCGCAGACAAGCTGGGCCACAAGCAGGCGTCAACTCCAAGCTTTGTAACACCTTTCAGGTAGTTAGTCGGGAAGGTTTGGCATTGGAGGATGTTCTGACTCTGACAGGCTCAAGCAATTTGCTGACCTGTTTGTGTGTTGCATGGCCGCCAGACCATCGCAGACTGCTTCTACGCATTGTCTGAGATCAACTTGGTCAGTGGAAAGTACCAAGAGGTGCATCGATTGCACCAAATTCTCGTCATTCACAAGATGGACTAGGGGGGCCCCGTACATGTGATTGATGACCTTGGAGTTTGGCTGGGCAAAAGCCGTCCTGCCCTATATATAACGACCTGAGAGATTTGAGGGAAGCTTTGAGGCGCTTGACGGTGCTGATGAGGGGATCAAAATCTACCAGGATGTAGGCTCAGAGCTGAGGATGAAAATGACAAACTGTCACGCATGGCATAAACAGGAGAAAATCATTGACTATATATTATATATATACATATAGTTATATATATATACACAATATTTACATATTTATATACATGCAGGATTCTGAAAAAGGTATTTAGTTATGATTCTCTCACGCACACACTCTTATGTATATACATGTGCAAAAACAACATAACTTATTCATTGAATGGATTGTGTATGTATCATAGATTCTGAAATGCATTTCGCACGAGCGCGCGGAAGCCGATTGACGCCACTTTGAGGGTACTGTAGTACAAAAACAAGCCGAGCATGATTGACACATCTCCAAGATGAGAAAGAGCGATGTCTTCTTGACACTGAGGCTATGAGCTTGGTGAGTGCACCTTCGAACAACCGGCATGTCATCCTCACACCCACAGTGCCACAGTGCTTTTCGGGACCTCTGAATGTGTGCCCCACTTTCTTTTTGGTGTACTCTGCAAGAATAGGAATGGAGGAACAAAGTGAATGCACGTGATAGCAACCTTCCTGATCTCCACCATATGAACGTTGTAGTTTTCCCAATTTAGTTTTTTTCTCCTGGGAAGGTGTCAGTAGGAACTTACTCGTGCACTTCAATATCAATAGCCAGGTGAACATGAAGGCGCAAGCACTGCTTGCCGGGAACTTTGTGATTCGGACGACTGTTGGTCGAGTCAAGCAGGTCGTGAAGTTAGAACATGAGCAACCTAAGTGGGCCTAGAGGCACAGTCACTAACCTTTTTGTGAGGTGAGCGGCAAGAGCGATGAAGCACTCGTCGCTGCCAAGCAAGCTGTGAGCATGGCAAAGGCCAGCTATCTGATTCCCCGAAGATATCCGAAGATGAGGATGGTCTGACCGGGGAGAAACTTGTTGCAAGCTTCTGCGGCATTCATTTCCTTTCTGCAGGCCATGGATGACAAGCCATTGGAGCAGTTGGCCGGGAGGCTCAGCAAATTGTGTGCTCTCAACAAGCTGGTTACTTTATATAAATAAATAAATATATGTATACATATTTAAACGGAGGTGTGTGGATGGATTGGAATCGATACTTTATGGCTGATTCTGGAATACGCATGTAGCGATGGCACGTTTCCCTGCCTGCAGCTGAGGCACAGGAGATTTTGGACAAAGTGCTTCAAGGCACATGGGCGATTTTGCACCGTTCTTTACTTTAACTTGCTGTTTTGTACTTCTGTAGTTCCTCCTGAAGGGTTGGTGTACAGATGTCGTATAAGTAAAAAGGCTCCGTTGCTCCAAGTCTCACCACCCAGATGAGCTGTCAATTGTCAGCAAACTACTGTTGTTAGGACTGGAATGTGTAAGCAGGGTGGCAGGGGAGGTAGGTTCGTATGGAGGCATGGCTGTGCATGGTTTATTTTGCAAGCATTTCCTTGGCACTCACTCCCCCCACGTGAAGCCTGTTCTTGTGGCAGCCCTTGTAGCATCCTTCGATGCTGGCTCTTCCTATCATTGAGATGCAGCAGTCCCAAAGTGTCAGATTTCAATCTTGCAAGGTCAGGCTGTTCCAGCAGCTGCGCAGCAACCTACGATGACAATGCTGCAGCTGGAAGAAGAGGAAGAGGTGGAAGAGCTGTAAGTTCCAGATATTCATGTGCCGAAATCACTTAGGTTCACCTTCACCTGTGCAGAATTGATGTGCAGCATGCGTTTGCTTTTGCTTGAATACTGTTGCTCGAGTCAGGAGACACCTGTGGCAGCAGCGTCGGGACCAAAGCGGCTGCCAAAACATGTATCAGGTAGCAATAGGAGAAAAGGACAAGTCGCAGTCAAGAACTCTGGAGCTAACTCAGCTCAGATACTCTTGGGCCGGTTGTAGGTCAGCCGGTGTTGATACGCTTCATTAACTAGGCAGCCTTTCTAGTGCACCCGTCAGTAAGATGACTCCTGTCATTCGATCAGAAGGCAGACCAGAAAGGAGAAGAAGAAGGATGGAAAGAAAAGAACAATGCGGAGCAAAAAAGAGAAAGAAGAGCAAGAACAGAAGGGCAGGAAACAGAAGGATGAGAACGAGCAGGGAAAAAGGTACGTCGTTAGTAGCGCCTGTGGGCCGTGGTTGTGTCTTCTGTCTATGCCATATCAATGCCGCCGCCTCGGCCGTCCCAGGGCATCAGAGGTGGTGGAGGAGAAGCCGAAAGGATGGGCCTCAGTAGTGACAGTAGCTGAAAAGTTTTGGCCTCCAAATCTGCCAAATGGTTTTTTACGAATCCCCTTCGACCCGACCCGTTTCCCATTTCAAAGGGTCAATTTGGTAGTCCTTGTGCGTCAGAAGACTCTTCTAACTTCCTCTAACCTGTGTTGCTCAGGTTTGGAGCCTGCAATCGTGAGTGATATGCTGCACAGCATGTTGCGAGAAATGATGGGTTCTGACATGGACCTGCACTTGGATTCATAGCAGAGGTGCAAGCTGAACGAAACATTGGTCCCATCAGCTGATCAAGCGGTTGGTTCCAGAGGGTGATCATGATCTGTTTGGTTTAATAGATGTAACCTTTGTCTTTGGCTCAGGAATCTGACACGCCCCTCATGGATGCCGGAGTTGACCTGTACTCAGGGAACTGATCCAATTCACAGCTTCGGCATTGCGTTGTGCTCGTTGAGGACAGCTTGATGAGCATTGAGTTTCGAAGCCAAGTTAATTCGGCCTTCTCTGGGCAGCTTGGCGCAGAAGACGTGCTTCGATTGAAATGCTGCTGGGAGTTAAATCTTTTTGTTGGGCAGAGGCTGGGATTATCTTCGACCCTCACGTCTGCAGCTGAGAGTGGTTGCCCCCCACAGCGAGGTTTGAAGCTTCGATTCTCTCTCCTTTAGGTTCGACTATCCGACAATTCGGGAGCTGACCGGGCACATCGTGGAGAAGAGCAAGAACCAGTAGTGCGCGAGCAGAGGGCGAAACGCTATCGGCAGATCGGTGATGATCGGTGCCGCCTGTAGAAGACCAGCCTCTCACATGCGCAGGAGGCTGTTTGCAGTTTAGGTCCTATACCTAGCACTCTTCCTCGCCCTTGCTGAGCGAAAGAGAAAACTGGACCTCAAGTCACAATCTTCGCTCGGAGGTCTGTGCATCAACTGCATCAAGTGACCCAATGTAGTTAGCTCACATCACACGGGAATAAGATACCAAAGACACAAACACCCACAAGCATGTGCATGATGAGAACATGCAAGGTCCTAGATTTAAAGTGCAGCTGCACGGCTGGCTTTTCCTCAAAGCCAAAATTTGATTGATCGGCTCAAGAGCAATTGAAACCGGAAAGTCGAACGCACTCTGGATACAATTGATGCCAGGCTGCAGACAAAAATCTGAAGCTCACACCACCAACTGTGCAAGACATGTATTTTCAGAGCTTGAGCTCGTTGCCCAGGAACTCGCCCTAATACCATGAGGAGCTCGTCCCAATACGCTTGGAGTGAAGAAGGCGCCCCTTTTCTGCTCTTTTGACTTGTCGAACCTTCCTCATGTCAGCGCGATTGCTACATGATGTGCGCTCGTGATTTTGCGGATGAAGAGATGTGATGTGATGGAACATGCAGGATATATATATATTATATATTTCTTCTACAGGCGTTTCTTTGTTCTTTATTTTTGCGGGGGTTGGAACCTATCCATGTATGTGCGTCAGGACCGCCTGTTCCCCAAGTACTTCAGTACACAGTGTACGGTATACGTTAGTACTTTAAAACTTTACAGCTCAAGCTTTCGAAGTATCATCTGATGTTGATGCTGCTACGTGTGTCGATCAGGCCAGGGCATGGCAGCCCAGCAGCCAGGAATGTTTCCTCCGCACCATCTCTCAATATTGGTGATGTTGGCGTGTCAGAGGATCAGAAAGCCATTCAAAAGGTCTGGTTGAAGTCAGGGATGGAGATATAGATGAGACCTTGGGCAAACATCACTGTCAACTATTGAATACTTGGTTCGCTTTGATGTGCACAAAGGTGACTTGCTTCCATTTTGTTTGTTAAGTGAAGATTCTTAAGGTGGCATGTGGAGTCTTCTTGTTGGAGGCTTTCTTGACTGAACAATGACTCCACAAAAATCCCACTAAAACACCATGAAACCCTGGAAGAATAATTGAACACACTTATATAGGTTCAGTTTTTGACACCAGCCCATTTTTGGGATTTGGCCGGGGTTTGATTGAGGTTTGAGTGGGGTGAGGTTGGTTTCAATTGGATGTTAATTTGGGGTCCCAGCCCATTTTTGGGATTTGGTTAGGTTTGTTTGGTGTTTTGGTGGGTTTAGTGTGGGAAATCATAAGGCCCATAGGTAACCCACAAAAAAGACCAATCAAACTCCAAGATTCACCTCAAATTACCCAAGGCAAACCCACACCACTACCACCCAAAACCTTGGGTACAGTCTTGCGCCTTCTAATTTTGCGACCCCCCCAAAAAACCAGAGCGCTGAACATTTTTCCGGGGATTTTGCCAGCTTTCTCAGGGATCTTGAGTGAATGATTGGGAACCATTTGGGTTTCCATGGGCACTGTCTTGGGAAACGCAAGAAGCCAGCCAACACTTCAGTTGGCGATTCAGGTACCATCAAGGAAGTGCTGCATTTGGAACTGGCACGTTCCAAAACTTGATGGAGAACTCAAGGACGCTAGCCTGCACTGTAGTGCACATAGTTGAATGATGTTCAATCAGCTGGATTGAACATGGTCTTGATCCAAGACCGACTACAACGCTTGCAGTGTACTTACTGGAAGGCTTAATTATATTACATTTAGGTTGGAGGCCACCGCTATTAGGTTGGAGGCCATTGCTTTTAGGTTGGAGGCCATCGCCATTAGATTAAGTATATTACCTGTTTCCATGAGCCAAGGCCACCGTATGAGTCCTGGAAAGCTTCGGCCCCAAGCCCTGGTAGCCTGCAATGGCCCGTGACATGACTCAACGGTGCACCAAACGCATAGTGAAAGGCGAGAGGATGATGCCTATCATTGTATTACAAAGAACGCTACTAGGGGCTTCTGGCCCTACTGCTAGGACCTGCTAGGAGCAAGGACGCTACTAGCAGCAAAGGGCATCGCTGCTAGAAACAAATGCAACATTGATGATGACTATGGACCTTTCTAGCAGTGGCTCAGCCCTGCAAAGCTCGTGGGCTCAGGCATGCTACAAAGATCGCGACGATGACGATGGGACTACAGATTATACAGCCTCTTGATTTTGCTATTCTTGCTTTCATTCGAAGGCTTTGCTTGCTAGTTGTTAGCAGTGCAACTCCCATGGGAGAAGCCGAGTGTGTTGGCCAGTGTTTGCGCTCTGCACTGCTCGATTGTTTCGCTGAAATTCATTCTGGATTCTCAGACAACGCAGAAGAGCAGTGCTGGAAGCAGCTGCGGCGACGAAGATTGGAACAGCCGCTTGACTAGAAGCATTCAGACAAAATCGGTGGATTGAACAACGGCAGCTAGAAGCGATACAACAGGACTACATTTCGGAGGTTTGTCTGTGTCTTGCATGGTGGTGGGGCTGACTCGCGCACAAATGCACTTTCTTCTACGCAGCAGGGCATTTGGTCGGCCAGCTGGTGCTACTAGACAGATGGTATGATTTCTACTCGCACCTGAAAGGAAGCACCCTCCTAGGCTCGAGCCAACAAAGATCCACAAAGGAATAATACTAATTATATGATGGGCTGGGTTGATTGAAATTTCTCATGTTTTCTCGAAGATGACTGGGGGCAAAGGAACAAGTGGCAGCCAGATTGCCATCATAAGTTTCGTATATACGATGCTTGTCGTCACGTGAGGCACAGTGCGCTCCAACTTGGCGGGTGAGTTTATCCCAGGCACAACTTCCTGTAGCGGAAGCCTTTGTCCAAACCACCGCCGTATACCGCCATGGATGCTCCGGTCTGTGACAGTTCTCAAACTTGTGCTGTGGTGTTGGAGGAGCTTCTATATTATGAATTATGAAGTAGTAGAGCATATTTGTGCCTGGGTGTTGTTTTGATACCGGATCTATTCCCACAGGAGGGGTTCTGCTTGGCACAAGTGATCCGCACTTTGAATGACGATTGCACTATACAGTAGTTGAGAACCAGCTGAATTGGAGTCTTGTCTTCAGTTGCTTGCTTTGGGTTGCATGACCTAGTCTTTGGGGAGTGGACAACTTTTTAACTCCAAAATCGCTTGATTGGAGGCGATCCCTTCCAGTTCAACGCGGGGGCCCTCAGCAATTGCATTAGAAGGTCAGTTGCGCGATTGCACGCCAATGAACAGCTGTAGAAACGACTGCCCAAAGTGCAGGGAGGAATGGCTCCTTGGTCGGGGAATGCTTTGATTACTCTAAGGACGCGGAGAAGAGTGGTGGCCTTGTTGCAGCTTGCCAGCCTTGTCATATACAGAATTCGACCCCACATGTACCCGTAAGACACTATAAGAATGAACTGGCATGTTCAACGAGACACTCTATTCCCATGAAAAAGTCTCCGTTGGACTACGACGGTTCTGGTGGATAGCAATGTGAACCACACGCGTCTCAACCGAAAGTCATCCCAGCCTGAGGACCTCGATCCGGAGGTCGGCCGTTTTCGAGGCCAAGAGCTTCATGGCCGCAATCCTGACAAATCCATGGCCGTTCGATGCTTTCTGTATCCAGGGTGCTCAGGGTACTTGTTGCAACTTGTTGCACATGCACAGATTGTAGAAGTGGTTGCTGAGTGCAGTCTGCGGCGTGTTGCGGGGTGTCTTTCAGAGCATGCAGTATTTTCCTTCAAATGTTATTCTAAGGTTCTAAGAAGCTAAGATGTAGTCACACACACACATGCACAAACCAGGCCATTGCCCGAGGCAGTGCGCACAATACACATCCTGTTTCGTGCGTGCACACTCCTCACACACACACACACATGCACGCGCTTGCATGCGCACGCAGTGGCGTAAATTTTTTTGGCACACACACACACAACGTATTCGTACTTCTTTTGCATTTCGTTTTTCGTTTAGACTGAGACAAGATAAGATTAAGACGTGTGGGGACCTGATCATCTCCTAGATTTGCTAAGGATCTTGGCCATGTTGGCCGATGGACCACTGTCCAAAGGATCTTCCGTCAGGGAACCTCCAGGCTTGCTTGTCATACCGGTGCTAGACTCGTTAAACGCACATGCCGCACATGTATTCAACAGGCTTCGCTTGCAGGATTGCTGTTGGTAGCCATAAGCCGCAACAATGCGAGAGTTGTGACTTTCATGTCCAGTCACTAGCACTTTTGAAATCACTGCCCACCTGCTTGTTCCCCAGGGTTGCGTCAAACACGCGGGCCACGTAGCGGCGCAGAACTTTTGTCCACGGCTGTTCCGTCGAAAGCTCAGAAAAAGTGGAACCTTGTGCAGCACAACACAGCTCCACCCCTTTTCATGCAGTTTCTTGCTTAGGGCCACTTTGTTGGACTGACAAAGTCCATTACTTTTACCTTGACATTGGTAGTCCGCTTGACAACCAATGTCCCTGCTGTCATCACTCTTCAAGTTTTTCCTTTAGTTTGGGGTGGGTTTGGTGTTTGCCAGCAGACTTTGTCTTCCAGCCCTCCACACTCAGAGTGTGGAGTCTTGTGCTCATTCTTCAGTTGTTGCAAGATACTATCAGACTATCACGTGGCCTGTGTAGCATTTCCATGACTGCAGTACTCTTTGTTGCAGCTGAGTAGAGCACAAAGCCGTGTGTTGGAAGCGTTTTGTGTCTTGCAAGAGTCACGGGTTTGCTCCCATCTCTATCAATCCTCAGGTCGCAAACTTTCTCCCAGCCATGGATCCCTCTTGGCACGGCTTTTGGTCAAGGCGAGAGAAAGCTTTCGGAACTGCTGCTTTGGATGCCAGCTAGATTTATATAAGAAGTGAAGAGAATGGACAGCACGCAAGTA